TTCAGGTACTCGTCAGGATCCTGTGAGCGATTTAAAATAAAAAATGTACGGAATAACCCTTTAAAGTTCACGAGAGTGAGCATCGCTGCGTGTTAATGTGAATATAAGTGGATTATTACTGTTTATTATGCATTTAGTTTATAGAGGTTTTTTAAGTTAAATATCTCTGGGTTCAGTTTGCAGGATGTTAAATAACCTACACACACACACCTACCTCTCTCTCTGTGTTTAGCAGCCAGGAGTGAGTGTGTGTGTGTGTGTGTGTGTGTGTGTGTGTGTGTGTGTGTGTGTGTGTGTGTGTGTGTGTGTGTGTGTGTGTGTGTGTGTGTGTGTGTGTGTGTGTGTGATGTGTGTGTGTGTGTGTGTGTGATGTGTGTGTGTGTGTGTGTGTGATGTGTGTGTGTGTGTGTGTGTGTGTGTGTGTAGTGTGTGTGTGTTGTGTGTGTGTGTGTGTGTGTGTGTGCTCGTGTGTGTGTGTGTGTGTTGTTGGCCTCTCTCTGTGTAAAGAGGGTGATGATTTGTTTTTTTTTGCAAAATCCTGACAAAACAGATTTATAATCGCAGAATTTTCTGTATTTCTTTCCAACTGTGTCAGTTTTTTGCTTTTACATTTAAATATGAATTTTACCAGAAGAAAAACTCATTCTCTTGAGATTAAAGTCACTATTCTTCTATTTTTTTTTTTTAACATTTCTTCTCGTTAATTAATGATTTTATAATCACAGGAAACGTATCATTTGTTGTCAAATCAACACATTATTCATTATTTGTTCACGTTTTTCCACAAGGACGTTTCATTTCTGCCAGATGAGGCCTCAGTCGGAGTTGCCTGGTAACCGGGCAGGAAAACAGAGAGCTTTAAGATGATTTAACAAAAGCAGTCTTTGAATAGCCACATTCACAGGCCTGCAGATATGTCCTTGAATGCATCACGCTGCTTTTGTTTTTCAGATCTGGTTAAATCAGAGTCTCTGAAGCTTCTTCTGTAAAGACAGCAGCAGAGGATCCAAGGCCTCTGTGGGGGTTTATATCTGAATTAAAGCCACTATAAAAGAGCTTTGATGAAGTTGCTCGAAGCGTTTTGAAATGAAAGCGATAAGGTTCATTTAAAAAACAAAACACGCTTTTTTTCAGAGTTTTTTGCGCGTAGATTTTTTTTTTTGCAGATTTTCTTTGACAATATTTGAAATAATTGTAGTATTCTTTTGGTATTTTACCTCCTGATCTCACACACAACACACACACACACACACACACACACACCTCTTCTAAAGCAGATAAAGTGTGTGTGTGTGTGTGTGTGTGTGTGTCCTTGAGCACGGCGTAATAAATTGACTTTAATTTGTTCTTCCAAGGCAAGGTCGCACTGAGTGATGGTTTATAGGCTGGAGTTGGAAAAAACGGATTTTCTTTGACTGCACATGAATGCATCGAAGGTGGGGATGTGTGTGTGTTGGGGGGGGGGAGAGAGATGGGAGATGCTTGTATGAGATGCTTTTATGTCGTTTGCTGCTAAGGATTGTGGGGAGTTGTAGTACCAGATAAAATAAATGGGGATTTTAGGGAAATTTGTTTTTGTAGTTTTTAATGTCGTTTTTTTGTAGTTTAAATCCTCCCACGATGTTAAGCTGTCGCCCCCCATTTAGCTATCGCTGCTGTCCAGGCGTCTCCCCGGAGAACTTTCAAGCGTGGTCTGCTGCAAGCGAGCGGCAGGAGCGGGGCAGTCGGCTGGGTGCTTGGCTTGCTGTTTAAAACACCTTTTCTTGTATCCATATCTCTCGCTAGAATCTCCCACCATCCAACCAACAACAACAACAACAACGTCAAGCCTTGGGCTCTGAAGCTACGGGGCGGGCCGAGGACAAATACACATGCGTGATTAACGCATGTGTATTTGCGATTAGCACGTTTAAAATAATTAGTGGCGTTAATTTTTTGTTGCTGTTAATGCGTTATTAAGCGGTTAACTTGACAGCCCTAGTTTAAATACAAACTTTGGTCAGTTTAGGTACATGATTATAAAGATGGGTTTATGACGGTGGATATCGGATTATATTATGTGGCCCTAAAACACATTCCCGTACGAAATTATGCATTCTTCTTCTGCCATAATTTAATATTTGGTCACGTTCAGCAGCAGCTGGAGTCCTGTAAACACAGCGAGGGTCCAGAGGGAGAGAGAGACCGGAGCGTCTGCTCACAGCGAGGGTCCAGAGAGAGAGACCGGAGCGTCTGCTCACAGCGAGGGTCAGAGAGAGAGAGAGACCGGAGCGTCTGCTCACTGCGAGGGTCAGATGAGAAGAGAGAGAACCACAGCGTCTGCTCACTGCGAGGGTCATAGAGAGAGAGACCGGAGCGTGCTGCTCACAGCGAGGGTCAGGAGAGAGAGACCGGAGCGTCTGCTCACAGCGAGGGTTCAGAGAGAGAGAGACCGGAACGTCTGCTCACAGCGAGGGTCAGAGAGAGGAGAGAGACCGGAAGCGTCTGCTCACAGCGAGGGTCAGAGAGAGAGAGAGACCACAGCGTCTGCTCACAGCGAGGGTCAGAGAGAGAGAGAGAGACAGCGTCTGCTCACAGCGAGGGTCAGAGAGAGAGACGGAGCGTCTGCTCACAGCGAGGGTCAGAGAGAGAGAGACCGGAGCGTCTGCTCACAGCGAGGGTCAGAGAGAGAGACCGGAGCGTCTGCTCACAGCGAGGGCAGAGAGAGAGAGACCGGAGCGTCTGCTCACAGCGAGGGTCAGAGAGAGAGGACCGGAGCGTCTGCTCACAGCGAGGGTCAGAGAGAGAGAGACCGGAGCGTCTGCTCACAGCGAGGGTCAGAGAGAGAGAGACCGGAGCGTCTGCTCAGCGAGGGTCAGAGGAGAGAGAGACCGGAGCGTCTGC